GATCAGAACAAAAGCCTATCTAGTTTGGTATCCTGTTCTCAGGGTGGTCAACACAGTACCTATTTTGAAGCCTGTAAACAGGACCTGAGTGCAATTGTACTCCATTTGTGATTCCAAGCAACAGGTATGCAAGATGCATGGTGCCTCCAACAGCAGAGATAGAACAGAGCCATCATGAATAGTGACCACCGGTGATCAGAGATGATGGAAGTTGTAATCCAACAACATCTGGGTGGCACAAGTTCTCCTTCTTAGCTCTTTGCCCGGGTTTTCCAAACTTGGATCTCCAGCTGTTTTTGGACTACAACTCCCATTATCCCTAGCTAGCAGGACCAGTGGCCAGAGATGGTGGGAACTGTAGTCCAAAAACAGCTGAAGATCCAAGTTTGGGAAACCCTGCTCTACACTGTGAAACAGCCCTTGTCCTACATCCACATCAGCACATAAGAAGAACCTGCTGAATCGTGCCAATGGGGTCCATCTATTCCAGCATCCTGTTCTCACAGTGGCCGCCCTGATGTCTACAGAAAGCCCAAAACCAGAACCTGAGGATTCGCAGCAACTGGCCTTCGGAAACCTACCGCTTCTGACAGTAGAGGCAGAACACAGCCACAGCAGGGGAGACAGAAGGATTGCAAAGGACTGTGAATAGATTAACCAAAAAGGAGGATGGTGTAGTCAGTGTGGTGCCCTCCTGATGGGCTGCCCTCCTATCATCCAGTGACTATGCTGGCTGGGGCTGATAGGGGATGGAGTTAATCAACCTCCGAATGGTATCATATTGGTGGCATAACAGGATGGGGTGGGTTGTGGTTTTTTGGCAATATTTTACTTTGCATATCAGCATAGACCTGTCCTTGAAAAAGACATCTCTAAAGAGTGATGGGATCTCCAATAACCAAAATGGTATTTATGATATCAGGTGAAGAGTCAGAGAACTAACAGGCTGTTGCAGCTCGGGGGGTATAATCTTACGGTCTTTACCATCAGACATCAATGACATCAAATAACCCTGTGAGTTTGCTACATCGAAAAGTAACATGAGACAGAGCAATATGAACTTGCAGAAAGATCCTGCAATCTGTTTTCAGGCTGTGACTAATTAAAATCAGGATCTTACACCTACGATTTCAGTTTATAACCCCAAAATTGTATCTTCTTGAAAGGAGTGTACGGCCATTTCAGTTGCATACTCATTTACATGTACAGAATCCAAGAACTGCCAAGGAATCCTGGGATACTGAGTGTGGCCCAGGTGCCGAGAATGCTGTGTTAGAGATCCCAACCATTTCTTGCATATCTACAATTCCCAGAATTCCCTGGGGGAGGGAATGTCTCTGACACCAGCCCATAGAACAGAGATGCTCTGTGTGTGTTGAAGAATGAATTCTAGAGGGGGAGGGGGAATGGTTGGCATGTCTGTAATGCTTGGCCAGTGGCTTGTGCGCATAGTGTTTAACCAGCTTTATTGGGAGCAGACCTTGAGTTGATGTAATTGTATCAGTACAAGATTTCCCAAGTATATCGTGACAATCCTGAAACGGTTACAAGATTATCCCAGAAATATTCAATTGTTTCATATCTCCCTGCTTTCAATAAAAGACAAAAGTCCATATTGTACCGTTAACTTCAGATACGGAACTGATAGGTAACAAGCAATGTAGCTTACCAGTTATTTTGTCTTTTATTCTAGATAATGAGAGGATAAGGATTTGATTACTCAACATGATTCGGAAACAAACTACACCAGGAGAGCAATTTTTGCAGTCTTTGAAGTTTTTTTTTTAATCGTTGATCAAAATATGTTTCATAAGCAACTTTTTGAGCCAGCATCCACTCTTTGAAAATATGAGCAACCCCATTGATGTAAGTGGCCTTTAAGGGCTTGAATCAAAGTCAAATGAAGTCAGTGGGAAGTCTCCCTTTGATATTAGTGGTCTTTGGATCCGGTCATATCGGTGAGATCAGAATTTGGCCTCAGAACGGCAACCCACACAAAAATCTCCTGCTTCATGAAAGGACTTGACTAATCGCTGAATGTTGCCTGCACTTTAAAAAGCACAAAACATGCTCATAATCGTTGGCTTGCACTGAGGACGCAGAGTGAATGGAAGCTGTTAAGGCTTGCTTAATGTGATTCCTGTTTGTCATTATTAAGTGTGCGTGAAAAACAAAAACAAAGCAACAGAGCAGACTTTTGACTCTCGGTGTATCAGTCTGTGCTGGTGCGTGACAGAAACATAGCGTCGTGCTCCAACACCACAAGGGATGGTCCCTCAGGGCAACACAAAACTTCCTGTGGAAAACAATCACGGAAAAGAGGAAGCCACAGCTATTCTGTGCATGTGGCGTTTAAGAGGTTTTGTACAGGGCAGAATCAGCTCCAGGAGTTGGTGGATCCATGAGCCAAGCAAGTTCACTGTGTGTCCCTTTAACCTAGAAGAGGCACGGCATTCTTTCATTCTCTCTCCAGTCCTCTTTGATGGACACTGAAGCTAGTTTGTGACCCTTTTGGCCTTGGGAGCCCTAGCAATAGTCTCATCTTGCTACCCTCTTGGGCTGGCTATTTAGGGTGGGCTCCCTCTCCTATTTTACAGGAGTGTACAGAGGGAAGGTGCTTCCAAACAAACATATAGAGGAAAGATTTCAGGAGTTCCTTTCTTTTAGAATTCTTAGCTTCTCAGATTTGTACTCCACCCTAGCCAGGGCTAAAGGTAAAACTAGATATGAAGCTAAATGCATCCCTTGTTGCTGTGTCCTTAAAACAAGAAGCAGCAGAGAGCAGGGGTTGATTTTTTTGGGACTATGAAACACATGGAAAGGCGTGTAACCAGGGCTTTATTTCCAGCAATAACTCACCAGAACCGAGTTTTGGCACCTCTCATGTGGGCACCATTGCCGTTATAAGAAAACACGGGAGGTGTTCATGGTGAGTTTCAACACGTCTTTTTCTAGAAAAATAGCACTGGGTGCAACACCCTCGACTGCAGACTCTATTAGCTCTAGGAAGGAAGCTCTGTTTAGGCAAATTTTGATATCTCCCTATTTTAAGAACACATTATATGGGAAGAGGTCAGAATTATTAGACAATTTCAGACAAGTTTTTACAGTAAAAAACACTTTTGACTTGTCTTAATTTTCGGTTGCTGAGTGGAGGATGAATCATGTGAATTCAGTAACACAAAAGGACAACTGAACATTATCATTCTCCATGTGTATGAGATCATATGGAAACACTCTCACATGCACAGACTTCAAGAATATTAAGTCTCCTGATGTAGAGTGAATTGCAGTCTGTCACTTCACTTTGGTAAGTGATGGAAAAGGCAAAATAAAACAGAGTTAAATAGCCAGAAAGTAGTTCAGTAACCTAAGAGAGGGGGTAAGGATGAATGGGTAGATGGAAGACCATGTGCAGTAGCAGCATCTGAACTTTGGTAAGTGATGGACAAGGCTGAGTATAGCAGAGTTAGTAGTGAGAAAAAATTCAGTAACCTGAGAGAGGGGGAAAGGATAGATGGATGGATGCCCAGTGCAATTGTAGCATATGAACTTTAGAACTATGATGTAAAAATAAAGGAAGCTGAAGTTCCATGGAAGAAGAAAAAAACCCCAAGAACTATGCAGTGTTTTCTGGATGCTCAAGGAGATTCCAAAACTCAGATCTTGCAAACAGCTGCAACACTCTGATCTATGGGACGGTTATGCAAGTGAGGGCTTTTCTAGTTGTGCTCAGGTGACATTTAATTCTGTGCTTTTGTAGAAAGAGAACCAGACAACAGGTTTACAACTATGTGAGCAAGCTAGGAAAAACAAAAAGAGAAACCTGTAACGAAAAAAAAATCAAGCCAAGAGTGATTGACATTTATATATATTTCAGTAGCCATTAGATATTAGATTCAGGCTTGCAGTCTAGGCACCAAACGGGCAGGTGTTCACATCAAAGAAATCTGAGTTGACACCTGTCAAGATAATTATACATAAGCATAACAATGCACCGACACTACCTCTATAGCAGCGTTAACCTCTGGAAACATACACAGCCCGTTTCAGCTGCCTAATATTCCAGGTCCTTGAGCAGCTACAAAAGGCCATCAGTTAATATTTATAACATAATTTGTTTCCCACAGAAATAATTCTTCCAGAAATGGAATTCTTCTTCCAGACTCCCAACATCCTCTCCCTTTGTTGCAAAAGTGGTCAGTTCTATTTTAGAACAGTAATCATTTTGAGTCAGTGCCATGAAAACATAGAGCCAACCAACATTTTTGGATCCCTTTGTTATACTTCCCCGATATCTTGGAAGGACTGATGTTTTCACCTCCCAGCTCAAGCCTGCCCCAAAGGGGAACAAATATTTAGTGTTGGCGCTAAGGGGCTTGCAGCTTAATTTCCCCCTGTCCCCCCTCCTGACAAAATCATATTGAAGTAACTGGGCAATTGCTCATGCCCTTTTGTCATTTTAGAGCAGAGCTTCTCAGCTGTTTTTGGACTACAACTCCCATCATCCCTAGCTAGCAGAACCAGCAGCCAGGGATTATGGGAATTGTAGTCCAAAAGCAGCTGGAGACCCAAGTTTGGGAAACCCTGTTTTAGAGCAAGCAATGACAACGGATACTTTGAAAAACAATCTACACCATGACTCTGACATGGTGGGAATGTGGACTGATGAAATTGTGTGTTTTGCTTGTACAGAAGGAGTATCACAGGGGTGGGGGAAATGTTTTCAGTCTGAACGCCATGTCACTGCCCCATCACTTCTGGGCAACCTTTTGAATGCTGCTTGCTGGTGGTGTGGAGGTCATAGGCAGAAGTGGGTGAAGCAACAAATACAACGTTTAGCTTTGTACACTAGTCTAGTTTTTACACACATTCAAACACTCCGTACCTTCAATCCAGACACACAAGAGGCATAGTCAGAGTTAAAATCCTAGAACTGTAGAATTGGAAGGACACCCAAGAATATTGTAGTTCAACCCCCTGTAATACAGGAATATTTTTGCCCAAAATGAGGCTTGAACCCACAACCCTCAGATTAAGAGTCCCATGCTCTATCAACTGAGCCAGGGCATCAAGGATGCATTTTAGCCAGGCAAAAGCACTTGGATCAGTGATAGATGTGGCCTAGGGAGAAAGGCTAGACAGAGAGGCCTAAATTGTCACATTCAGCTCCCAGGATGAAGGTTTCCCACCCCTGGGGTAATATGACTGCTTCGTCACTCACTACTCAGTGAGCATCCTGGTTTTTCATTCAGCTAACTTTCAGTAGCTTCACAACATTAAATACAGGTTGACTTGGGAATTACAGTCAGGGTGAAGAATCGCACAATCCTTTCATCACACACCTCACCCCACATTCCCACTGGGACAATTTGGTCATATGAATTTTGACCTCACAGGGATGGCTTATTCCTCTTAGTGAGAGGCAAAGACACATGGTATCTGCCATTCTGTTGGCATGAATAAAATCCAGTGAATTATAATTAGTCAGCTTAATGGCAGGTTATTTCACTTTTATCCTCTGGTAATTATCTTGGGTCTATGGGGATGTTCAGGAATGGGAAACTACTTCACACCCGAGTTTCCCAACCTTGAGGACTTTCTTTTTCAGAGCCTATCTGAATGGTAGGCTCTGAAAAATAGAGGGGGGGAAATCAGAACCTGTCCCCTAATATGTTTTGTCTTTCTCTAAAATGAAAAAGAGAAAGAATTTCCTGTTTCCACTGAATAAAAAGATAAAATCCTTCCCATACAATCACCTGATCTCAGCGTAGTGATGGAAAAAAATCTGAGAGTATTGGCTCCTTTTGTGATTGGGTAGTCATTCTAATTGAAAGTGGGTTTCTTTTGTTTACTGTTGAAAACTGGAAAAGATTTATTTTTCTTAAGGCAGGTTCTGTCTCTTATCACCACTGTCGCTTTCCTGGTTTCTTTTCTCAATCTAGATCTGACCTACCATTCAGACCTCTGTTTCAGGTATTTTTTATGCCCTCATTCCTCAACACACACACACACACACACACACACACACACACACACTATAGCTATCAATAAAATTCATTTGATGCTCTGTATAGGTTTTGAATTGACCCGACATCCCACTCGCCACCTCTTCACAGCAGATGGTGCTTCCTACTGAGAGAACAGGCTGCCTCTTCTATCCTCCTATTCAATGCACTTAACAACGAAGACTACTCCTAATAAATCAGGACTGCAAGTTTTAATCAGATTAATCAACTGGACCATTAATTGACAGTTGGAAGCAAATCTAACGAGTGAGAACTCGTGACAGAGTTGTTAATCTTTCGGTGGCTATTTTTGTCTTAGTGTCCTACTGCAATAAGGAAGAAAAAATAAAAATCTTTAAGATGCCATCTCCTCCTAACAAGGAGTGCTAACTTTTGTTTCTGAAACTACAGGTTCCCATGCCCTTTCTTCAACAGTGGGGGAAAAAAGACAGCTGGTGGGGCAGCTGAGTGGGGCTGCTTTCCTCTCCCACCTTTCAAACACCGTTCAGCACCAGGAGGAGGAAGAGGGCTACTTATAGCTCCTTCTATAAGTAAGGAGCTTGGCAGGGGCAGCCATGGCAGCAGAGCCATTTCAATGCTTCTGCAGCTGTGTCCGCACCATGCCAGGCTCACTGCTGCCTTTCCCCTCCCTCCCAAATTGGCTGCAATTTTATAGGAGCATACAGTTTCCATGTTAAACACTGGAAAAGCATGAACCTGTGGTCAACTTCCTTATTGCTGTCTTTGTGCAGAGTGTGTTCTAGTGTTTATCTTACACGTGGCATGAGGCGAAGCATGTTTACTCAGAAGAAAGTCCAGCTGAGTTCAACTGACCATGCCAGTTTGCATAAGATTGCGTCTGTAGTTTCCTGCACACCCTGCAAGGAACACCACTGTTGTTACCACTGAACAGCCTTAGAGGACTGATGCTCCAAACTCTCCCAGTCAGGGTTCAGATCCAGATTCCTCATCTTTCAAGCCTTCTCTCACATCCCTAGATCACACTGATTCTCATGAAGACAACCAAATTACTACTGTATTTACATGTATCTAATGCACCATCGAATCTAATGCAAACCTCAATTTTCAAAACCTTGAAACCAAAAAAGTATTTGCTGGCGCCATCAAATCTAATGTGTACCCTAATTTCTGTGATGTAATTTGGCCAAAAAAGATGTGTGTTACATTTGAGTAAATACAGTACATCTAACCCCAACTTCAGCTGTACAGTGGTACCTCAGGTTACATATGCTTCAGGTTACAGACTCCGCTAACCCAAAAATAGTGCTTCAGGTTAAGATCTTTGCTTCAGGATGAGAACAGAAATTGTGCTCCGGCGGCGCGGCAGCAGCAGGAGGCCCCATTAAAGTGGTACTTCAGGTTAAGAACAGTTTCAGGTTAAGAACGGACCTCCGGAACGAATTAAGTACTTAACCCGAGGTATCACTGTACTCAGCCCCACCACATAACTTGTATTCTTAAACTCTACACAGAAAGCGTACATGCATCCAGCTTTGGACTATTATGGACTTGGGTTTGGAAATTCATAGATTTCAACTGACTTCAAAGAAGAGATTCTGTGCTTCATGGTGATGTTGTTCTCTATATTCCTTCAGCATCCCATGTACCTGTTTAACCATTCCAGCTACCATTTTTAATCTTACAAGTATGAGTCAGCCACGACTGGACCTAATGGTCAGGGGTCCCTTTACCCTTTACCTTTATGTGTGCACTGATGATAATCATTATCACATCACCTGTTCCACAGGTGGGGAAGCTTTGGGCCTCTAGATGTTGCTGAACTACAGTTCCCATCATCCCAGGCCATTTTCCATGCTTGTCGGGGGTGGTGGTAATGGGAGTTACAGTTCAGCAATATCTACAGGGCCAAAAGTTCTGTTCACCTGGCCTACTCTTATGGTTTAAAACAAGGGCTGGAAACCTGTGACCCTCCACATGTTGCTAGACTGCAACTCCCATAATCCCTGAGCATTTTCACCATGCCTGCTGGGAGTTGGAGTCTATCAGCATTCAGAGGGCCACAGGTCTTCCACCCCTAGTTAAAAAGAGACATGGATAGAAGAAGTCATTTATTTACAGTGTTTTTATTCAGTCTTATTCAGGGAACCTAACCATTAAAGCAATCAATTAAAACAACAGTCATCAATAGCAAAATATACCGAGTAAATTAAAAGCATTAAAAAAAGAAGTCTTAAAAACCACAGAAACCCAGAGCCAGGAAGGGTAAAAAACAACCCTATTATAATAATCGCTATTAATCCTAAATAAATACAAATACATCTTCAGTTGGTGCCAAAAAGATAACAAACCTGGTGCCACTTGGAGGACTGAATTCTAAAGCCTACTTAGAGTTACGTCTGCTTGCAATATTTTGCTGATAATTGATGGCAGAGGAAGCAGTGCGAGTATAAAGAATGTGTTCTCCCCATCTCAAACCCCATAAGTAAATGCACATATCTGATTCCATGGACAACTCTACTAAAAACTGCTTAGACAAATAGCTTGCTTTAATTATATCCCTTTTCCCAATTAAACAAACCAAAGCATAGAACATATTTACCCAAAGGATGCTTTCAAATGATGTTCAATGTCCAACTGAGTACAGAGCCATCTGGAGCTAGCATCCCTGGCATCTGTAATATCTGCTTAACAAATCCATCTCAAATGACCAGGAGGTCACATGCCAGTTGCGACAGACTCATTGCCTGCATTTCCCCTCCCCTAAATCCATTGCATCCAGAGCAAAGCTCTTCCTTGATTTTGCATATTTTAACATGCATTAAAAATATACTTTGTGAAATAATTAAATACTGCTCGGTACACTTTTAAGCAAAAATCTGACAGGCTAGAAGTCACTGAGAATAAATCACCCATATGTGTTTTAACTCATGACCAAGGCAGCATTTTAGGGCTCAAAACCAAAAAGGGCTTATTTGAGCTTCTGACTATAGAGATGTATTTCACGATCAACTTTTAGGTGAAGTGGAAATCTGATATTGTGGGCAATTGGATTTCTGTGGTATACTCATGTGAATTAAGAGTTGATGGATTGGTCCCTAATGTATTCACAATCCTGACTCACTCATACACAGAATATTGATTCATTTAATGTTGTGCAAAACTTGGACATTTTCCAGAAGGTGCCTTTTTTCATCGTCCCTGAGATTCCATTGAACAGAATGGATAATCTCACTTTACAAGGAATGAATTTGGGATTATTTTCATGCATCCAAGGCTGTGTTCATGTGTTAGATATTCCGGAGCGTCGGCCTTCTGCATTAACCACACTTGTTTTTGAATATAAATTTATTTTTTGCTTGTTCTTCACATGGCATTAAGTAAAATCAATGAAGCTATCGGAAGTACCATTTACTCCTATATGTACCATCCCATTAAAGGTAAAGGTAAAGGTAAAGGGACCCCTGACCATTAGGTCCAGTCGTGACCAACTCTGGGGTTGCGGCGCTCATCTCGTTTTATTGGCTGAGGGAGCCGGCATACAGCTTCCAGGTCATGTGGCCAGCATGACTAAGCCGCTTCTGGCGAACCAGAGCAGCGCATGGAAACGCCATTTACCTTCCCGCCGGAGCAGTACCTATTTATCTACTTGCACTTTGATGTGCTTTCGAACTGCTAGGTTGGCAGGAGCAGGGACCGAGCAACGGGAGCTCACCCAGTCGCGGGGATTCGAACCGCTGACCTTCTGATCGGCAAGTCCTAGGCTTTGTGGTTTAACCCACAGCGTCACCCCCATCCCATTAGCAATGTACAAAGCTGCCTTATACTGAATCAGACCATTGACTGGGAGCAGCTTTCTCAAGTTTCATGTACAATGGGAAGAAATCTCCAAATATATCCCATTTCATCACTCTTCTCAGTTGACAGATAAAGATTTCCTTAGGATCATACTAAGATCTGCAGGACACGTGGAACCCAGGCCTCCTCAATCTCAGTCTCAAATCTCTGTCTGCTGGATTACAGTGGTGCTGACAGGCTATGGTCTGAAGACACATAAAGCTAGCACCTTGCTGATGCTAATCA